TTAGTTCAATTCCCCTTCTGAAAGCACTGTCTATTTGGGAAGTACTGAGCATACCACTGGATAAATGAGACTATACTGCACGAGTTGTGTGAGAGTTTGTTTTTAAATATTTTAATATAGTTTTGCAGTCGTTAAACCCATACCCCTTTTACGTATATTTATCGAGAATTTTCTCCATTTTTGAATACTTTATTCGTTATTTCTATCAGGTTACATTTACAAATTTAACGTAACACAGGGTGAGTAACTGATATACATCTTCCTGATGATATTCCTTTAACTGATACATTTCCACGTTTGCATGTTTGTGAAAACCAAGCAAAAGGCATCAGATTTGATTATGAGGGAAAAATAAAATCCTGGGACTAAACACTGGAACGATGACTCTATCAGTGCTTTTATATGGATGAATCTTTTCCTGGCTCTTACTCAATCATGCACTGGTTGACTTTTCAGAGAGAGAGTCAGAGAGTCTGTCACTTTTGTCAAAGCAGTATTTATTAGTGAAGTGCCTTGCTTAAGGCCTCCTCTGAGTGTGATTCAAGGTGTCTCTCAATCATTTCCCCATCCAGAGCAGACCAGCTACCACCTACCAGCTTCAAACCTTTCAGCTGCTGCTGCCCCGGGATGATATACTGCCATGGGATGCTGTTCATCTCCATTCAATGCGTGTGAGTGGCTACTGTATCTTTTCAATAGATGTTCCAAATGATATGGCCATAACAGATGCAGGTCATGAATCAAAGGTCCTAAACCACCCGGCTAGCTGATCTGTTCAGCAGGTGCTACTGTCCGATCTCCTCTGGATACATAACATGGAGGCTCCACATAGAAATACACACAGAGTATAACTGTCTCCACTGTCCCAGTCTCTGCTGCCTGCTGTGTCCTCTCTACCTGCTGCAGGTCTACATCTGAGCCTCTCGTGGACCACACTGACTATTCCTGCCTTGTGTGAACTGAGCTTGTGAACGCAATGACCCCATCAAGTCAACAAAGCCTGAGAGGAAGGAGAGGAAAAAAAATATGGGAGCAAAAATTCTGCACAGCATATCAAAGCATAACTCTTGTACCCTTTTCCTTGGCCCAACTCAAATTAGAAAAGCATAAAAGTGCTCGAAAAATAAGGATCACACATGTTTTGAATGTGCTGAATTTTAATTGATAATAAATTGTGCTTTTGTAGACCCTACACTACGCATTGAAGTGGTTAAAGGTGTTTTTTAAATGGATATAAAATCAGAGGAGAAGAAAAATAATTGAGGTTGTTTTTGAGGGGTTTTAGTTTGATAGTTTAACTAGTTCCCTCAGTTGAACTGTAGGTTGCACCTGTGATTATGAAACCACCAGCTGGACTCAATCCAAGCTACGTTAGAGGGACAATAGAATTTAAACTGTACCACTGACAACCATTAGAAAACCAAAAGTTTCCCAATAAGCACTAGTCTGTGGTTTAAAGGAATACTTCACCTCCTAAACAACCATTTGTTTATCAGTTGCTCACTGTGTGTTACTTTGACTTTATGAAGAAAAACATGTTCTACTCGCATGCCTGCAGTCAACGAAGAATCCAAAAATGAAAAAAATTCTTGATGAATTGAAGTCACAGGGGTCCAAGTCTCAGTTATCTAGTCGCATGCTCAGTACTTTCCAGACCAACAGCCCTGTCCAGCAGGGAACTAAACCCAAAGTAAAGTGGATCTATGCTCCCTTTAAAGCCAGACTCCATTGGGAAAAAAAAGTAATTTTACCTCGCTAAACACTGGGGCTACTGGTCTACCACTGCTTCAATCAGTTTGTTTGTTTGTGTTATTGTGTGACTGGCAAATCAGAACTGATCCTTTAAAACACCAAAGTCACACAATAACACAAACAGACCACAGATCGAGGCAGTGGTAGACCAACAGCTCCTGTGGATCAGCCAGGTAAAATTACTGTTTTTGTCAAAGGGGTGTAACAAAAATTTTCTTTTCTTTTCTATTGTTGGATACACCACATACGTAAGTGTTGATAAACTACATTACATCATACTGTAAATGAAAATACAAGTCATTCTTGCAGTTAAGGAAAAATACATAAAAGTTTAAAGAGACATTGTGTAACATTTTCAGTTGTTTATTGGCAAAAATTGATGTGTGCATTCATAAATATGTCATCATTGGTGTATTATTACCTCCACCAATAATCTGACTATCCTCGTAAAAGGAGAATTTTGGATTTGTTTGTACATTGTGCGGGTAAGTCATCTGGGGGGGTTCCATAACGTTTCGCCATCTTGAGAATACACCCGCCATCAAGAGACATACAGCCCCGCTTTCGGTGTTTTCGTTGAGAGGCAGGCCGGCGCTGCGTGCGTGAGTAGCCGAAGGAGAGGAGCAAGAGGCGCTTCACTAGTACCCCGGCACTCCTGCAGCATAACAAAGTCCCACTCTTTGAGCATAATGCAGGATTATGTATTATGCAGCATCATGGGAGACGGAATCCCCGTCACCAAGAAAGCGCAAAAGGGAATCAAAAAGGCAACGTGACCAGCGAATTAAAAAAACAAGGGTCAGCATTGGGGTAGACTTTCCCAGGTGGAGAGAGCTGCTGAAGGAGAAAGGTAATGCAATCAAAGCTAACAGCGCTAACAGCTACGCTGGCAGCTACCAGCTGTTAGCCACAGTGATGCAAGGAGAGGGATGAGGTGTGTGAGGTTGAGCCACTTGTCAGTTGTCAAAGGACAAGACGTGATTGGTTTGTTTCAATTTACATTCGCCCCAACAGTCCTATGTTGTAAACACAGCCAGCATGGTGAGGAGAGGGTTTGTCAACTCGCGTCGCGTGTGTCTGTGTAGGAGGGTGAAAGAATACTCCATGAAGTATCGGATGACATGGTTTCATCAATGTTATCATAGCTTTTTGGTACACAGCAGCTACCGTAGTTGCAATACGTATTTGAAACAGTGAGGCGCTAGAGTGCGCTATCCGTTGGAATGCAATATATGATTTCAACATTAGATGGGAGAAATTCCTACACACTGTGGCTTTAAGCATGATCAAATAAAAAATATTCCTTGTAAATTAAAGTTATGAGACAGTAAAATTTATTTCAAATTTATACAATTTATATGAGGGAGGTCAAAATTTGATTTACTATCACATGATTCTGGATTCAAAATTTGGACTTAAGACACGATCTGTACTAGTACTTTGATTTTTAACATGCATACTATACATTTTCATCCATCTTTCCATCTTTGAAATGAGCTTTCACAGGATCCACACACACAAACCTACATGCACACAAGCATTCACCAGTATACAATGGGAATCTACATATGTCCCATACGTGTGCATCTATAGATCTACATCTATCTATATACCATGTGGGGAGTGTGGTTGTGCAGGGGCCTGTGGGATGGGAGAGCAGGTCCTCCAAGGGTGTGTTGGGTGGAGAATGGACCCTTCTGAATGATTCGGATTTGCCATTTTATGAGTCACTTTTTTTGCTATATATGCCTATGAAAAGACAAATCAATCTCTGTCTTTTTTTTTCTTTTTAAAAGATAAAATAGTCAGTAGCGATCTATATCAGTATGCTTATTATACAAAAACTGTAAATAAATATAAAAAATAATTGAATTAAATGACTATTTTCTTTTCTTCTTTGGGGTTATTGTCATACACAGATATGCAGTGATGACTGCTAATTTAGAGTCAAATCTGTCGAGCTGAAAGACTGACAAGCTGAGTGAGCCGTCAGTAAGAGAGGAAGAGAGAGAAAAGTACAGGAGGAGATAGCAGCAAAGCTCGCCTAAGGGTGTGTGCGTGTATGTGTGTGTGTGTGTCTGTGTGCACTTTGTAACTAGTAACCACCTTACATCACTGGGTATCACTGCTCCAACCTCTGAATAACCCCAACCCTATCCTGAGGATCATGCTACCTGAGTCAAATTCTGTAAAAGTCACAATAATGTAATCACCATATCAGCTGTAGATAATCACTAATAAATGTACGTATGAATGAACCCGTCCAACTCATTGACCTCAGGATGTGCACAGGAGCTAAACTGTTGACACATCACTGTAGGGGAAAAATAAGACGTGTGTGATTTTGAACAGTGTTCTTGCTGTGTATCAAAAAGTGACAAAACGTCTGTTGGTGTGTTTGTGTTGTTGATATGAACTTTGTTTATTTTGTTTGCTGATGTGATCCAAGGTGCTGCAGATCTAATATTTCTCTGCTCCGGAGTCTCAACAGCTGCTGAAGTGCAGGTCTGTGCTCCCTGGTGGTTTTGCCAGAAAAGGAACACCGAACATGGGCTGATCTCCCGCCTCCCTCGCCGCTCTGGATGGGAGAAACAGAATCTCATCTGGGAAGTAGAACACCCTCGTGGAAGCCCACCAAGGCCTGTTCCTAGTAACCCAGAGACGCCTGCTGGCACGGCATGAAACACATAACTCTCGTATGGGATTGGATCTGAGGTTTACAGCTTGGGCTCGTTACCCAATTAGATTGGATCATGGAGGCAAAGCAAACTAGGGTGAAGTTTTTACAACGCCACAGGAGTCTGTAGAATGGATGGGTTCTGTTTTGGGGGGTTTGAGGATGGGGTGGGCGGGCAGGGGGGCTGGGGATATACTATTCCCAAGTCTCTTTTATCACAGCCTGTCAGAGTAACCACACAGAGCCACAGAGCAGCTGCTCTCTGTCCTCCATCAGGCACACAGGCACCAAAACCAAGCTAAAATTCAATTTCATATGGTCACACACCTCATCCTGTGTGTACCTCATCATGTGAGCTCCAAAAGATAAAATTATTCAGTTTATAATTCAAAGGTACATAAATATGCACAAAGATCAATAAATGGAAGCTGATGAAAAATCCAAAATCTTTATTTTCTTTGCAAAATTATACAAAACTTAAATTTCAGAGAAAAAAAAAACAAAGACAAGCTTACATACATGATAATAAATAGCCAAAAAGTAATAGCAAGTAGATAAAAAATAAATGTCTGACTGTGAGAAAATGTGGTGGTTAATAAAATATATTACAACTCATTCATCTGGATGAACCAAATCTACCTACTGTATGTGCAATAACAAGCACAGGTATCTGGATGTTTTTATACAACATAAAAAAACTGAAGTAAATGTATGATATCAAGCGCCAGGTGAGAATACAGCTGGCAAATAAAAGCATTTAAAGATCGCGACACTTTCTAAAGTATGTACATGAGAGTCAAACTCAATCGTGTCTGTTTTGTGCTTCAATGCAAGTCTGCAACCTCCATTTCTGCTGGAGGCGAGAGAGGGCATGAGGGAAGTCGGAGTCTGGGGGATTAAGGCAACACGAGGATCATGATGGATGTCTCTTGTGTTCACAAACATGGTATTTCAATCAACAACACCAATGACTCCTGCAAACTTTCAACAACAGAAAGAAACTAGTAAATGTAAGAAAGGTCCTAAATTTCAAAACATGACTGCAGTTAATGTTCAGAGGAGAACAGCTTGTTGCAGTTGAGTCTAAACTTTTTGTCCACATTAAGGCTACTGAGGGCTGTTGGTGATCGCTTTGAGAATGTCACATGTGTTTTTAGAGATGACCTCTCTCAGCTTCCGTACACGGCGAGGGCTGGAAGAACCCACGTAGCTCTCTGGCTGAAGGACGGCCATGCCGTCATTCACGTTGCCCATGATGATGACCTGTCCCTCAGCAGCGGCGCCCGTGATGTTTGGGCAGGGGCAGTTCCAGTCCATGTTGAGGAAGGTGACCTCCAGAGGCTCCTTGCCAAAGAAGCGCAGCCCCATCTTCTCGTCCTTTAGGATCTCTTCCACAGTCACAAGAGCGTGGCCCGAGTCCTTCTCCTCTGTGAGCTCCGTCATGCGGCCCAAGATGACAAAGTCACTCCGGCAGAAGCTGGTCACCATCTTGCCTCTCGGCTTGCAGGCCTTGCAGTGGTGGTTTTTGGGGTAGGGGCACATCTCCTCGCAGGCTTCTTTGGATTCAAAGTTGTTGTCGTTGCCGTCACAGCCTCCGTAGATGAAGGACTGGCACTGCCGCAGGGTGCTGCTGTAGGCCCAGCGTGGCTCGTAGGCCTTACAGGGGCCCTGCAGGCTGGGGAGCCCGCAGGGGCCGGAGAGCTCAGGGCCGCAGCACTGCATACACTCCTCGTAGGTCTCGAACACCTTCCTGGGCTGCGGGCTGTTGTTGTTGATGTTACAGTGGGTGAAGGAGAAGCAGTTGTTGGTTTTGGGCTCGTAGTACCAGCTGACTTTCTCCATCTCACTCCCACAGTCCTCTGGGTTATCTGGGGGTTTCAGACACTCTTCAGGCAGGCAGCGGGTCACATTCTTGGGCTCGGGGGTCTTGGGCGGCTCTGCGGGCAGCACAGTAAGTGGGTGGTTAGCTTTCACTGAGCCAGATGGGTTCTGAGCAGTGCAGGTGTAGACACCTGAATCATGCGGCTGGGCGTTGTAGATGACCAGCTGACCGATGTTAGTGACCACCATATTCCCTCGCACATGATTAGGCTTCATGGCCACCCTCTCCACCCCCTCCGGCTGCTGCTTCTCCCAGGTGACCTCAGGCCGGGGGCGACCTATTACATCACACAGGAAGCTGGCTGTGTCACCCATATTTACAGTCTGCTGAGCAGGGCTGCTGACCATGACGGGCGTCTGAGGCTCGGTGGGAGGTGGGATGGTCGCCTGAAGAGGAGCAGTGGTAGGGCGAAGAGTGGTGGCCTGGGGCAGCGAGGGGCTGGTGTTGGGCCAGGTGAGGTGGAAGCGGCAGGTGACAACAGCCAGGGTGATGCCCTTGGAGCACGCCTCCGCATCCATGTAGCACTTGTTGTAGTAGGTCATGCCGTCAGACGCGCAGGTGAAGTGTGGCTCTCTCTCGCAGCGGTCCCGGCACTTACACACCGGCTGGCCATCCCAGATGTCACACTCAGAGCCCTGCTGGGTGCACATGAAACTGGTGCAGGTGGCTTCCTTGGGCATTCCCATGGGGCCTTTCGTCCCATCCAAGTAACGGGCTGCCACACAACTCCGATTCCCGCACACATTTTGGCAACACTTCTCAAAGGACTCACACTCCTGTAAGAAGAGAAGAGCGAGTTACAGATGCAGGAGGCTACAGACATCTGGAAAGCATTGTTATACAGTCAACAAAAATAAAATCAGAAAATAAAAATTGAGATTTATTAAAACTGACGGCAGCAAGTGAATGAAAACATAAATCATTTATATAATACAGAAACTGCATGCAAAATAACTTCAACTAGCAGTCGAAAAGACTAGATTTTAAAAGGTTACTTTAATTACCTGGTCAGATTCACACTCTCGTGTACAGGTGCTCATGGCATCCACCCACAGGTTGGGGTTCATGTCATTGGGGCAGATGCCCGGGTGTGAGTAGGTGATATGGGGCAAAACTCCGACCTGGTGCTCCATCCACACTGACACACACGCCAGGAACCAGATCCACCGTGGAAACAGCATCCACCACATCTTCAGAGCGGAACACAACTCAGCAAGTGCTGAAGACTTTTTTTCTCCTTTTCTTTTAAAGTTGCAGATTTCTGTGAGACCCAGCAGCAGTGAGCAAACTCTTCTTCTCTAAATAGGAAATATGGTGAAAAGACGACGCAACTTAATATCGCATCACACGCGTGTGAGTCCGCGGGTCAGCACGATGTGCGTCAGCTGATTTATCCAGTTTGATGTCCCTCTCGTGCAGCGGTGATGCTCTATTTATACCAACGATGCGCAGCCATCACCGTTAACGTGACTCGCCAAGTTCCTCGCATCATGACATAGGAGTTGGTGCTGAGTTGTTGAAAGAAGCTTTTGAAGAAGTCAGCGGTAAGCTTTGGGCTGGAACTGACGGGGCACCTGCCTGTTAAAAGATTGCTGTAACCCCGTTTAACCCTTTGTAGGATCCAGCGGCGCCAGAGCGCAGTGTGCGTAAAGACGCACGGAGAGAAGAAAGACTCAGGCAATTTGTGGCTTTAAAAACGATTTTCCGAACATGTTCATGTTCAGTTAACATAAATTGAGAATAGCTAAATATCAACTATGTATCAAACTCCATTCTGAATATAAAAGTAGGTCAAACGACGACACCACGTTTTCATTTTATAGTATTAAAACTTAGAAATGACGCTGTACTTAAGTGTATGTTGGTTTAAATATGGCGGTATATAATTTCTATATAGAAACGTTTGAGTATTTTCTATATTTACATATGTAAATTAAAATGTTTCTATATATTATATATATTATTTTATATATATATTAATATATTTTATCATCTGTTGAAAGAATATAAACACTTTCCAACAAAATTCCTGTTTTAAATCATAAAGTAATAAGAGACAGTTTTCTTAATATTCTGAGGTCTGATAATTTCAACACATTTATTTTGCTGCAGCAAAATACATTTGTTAATAAACCCTTCAGAGGTTCCAGGATCAGCTTACATGGTAGAGTCTATAGGTGCTTTATACCAAGACCTGCAGAGAGATTATATTTAATTTTATTGTCTTTTGTCATATTATTATTTTATTATTTATTATATTATTATTATTATTTTATGTGCTGTCCCACAGGAAATGTATGAAGATATGTTTAACAATGAGATTGTTGTTGTTGTTGTTTTGTTTTGTTTTTGTTTTTTAATGTATGTGTGTGTTTTCCTGCACATTATTGTAACTTAAGTTGAACTTATGAATCATAAAGACAGGAAGTGGGGAAATGGTCTTCTTTGAATTGTGATCATAAATGCATGTACATTTTGCCATAGTCTGAATATAATATAAATTGGAGTAAGTTAAAATCATTAAACACCAATACAGATTAATTTCACCCTGCTCATGTTGCAATTGTAAATCCATCCACCTTCACATCTTAAGGCATCAGTTTTCTAAATGATCACACTGACTCATGCTGGTGCAATTATAGAATCCCCTGGTCTGCGCAAAGCATCTTAAAAAATAGTTTTTATACATCTTTGTTGAGTCATAAATGATGAAAACAAAAGAAAAAGAAGGGAATATTACAAAAGATTTGCTAAAATAAACAATACAACCTGAGATATTTTGGGAGCAAAAATAAATATAACCTAATTAAATCTAACTGCATGCAGCTTTAGAGAACACACTGCAACACTGAAGGAGCTGATGCATGTTGCTCTATACTGTAGGAAGCCTCACTGTAATAGACTGACTTATTTGAGCATTTGTTATGAACACACTGATTTCATTTGATTTTTGGATTTAATGTGATTTATTAAATATCAAATAACATAATAATGTGACAAGTTTTACACTGTCACAAATGCTGAGGATAACACAGTAAAAGTAAAAGATAACATATCCACTGTGGTCCTGTTTTCAGGAGGACAACAATAAAAGTATTGGTCACAGATGACTAAGGGACTATCACATAGGCTACATTAAGAACTACAGCTGCCACACAGTTTTTCTTCATGCTTGTTCAACTTGTTTTGAGTTACTGTTAATTAAAAGTCTGATATCAACTGTTGAAAATCAGCTCACAGTAAATGCTACACTGCAAACTGAAAGATGTGCAAAGACATGTTCATAACCTTGTAAATGATTCATTGCATATACAGTAAAGGTTATATTAAATTAGTTTTTCCCATCTCTACAGTACACGTGACCCGTGATACGTGACTGCTGCTGCACAACTATATCCATTCTTTCCCTGAGATTCAGCTGTGGACTTAAACTCAACAGTATGCATGTTCTACATTCTACAAAGCGTGTCTTTGTACACAGGATTAGTTGTGTCAGTACAAGCACTTTGTGTGGATTTATGCAAATCTACAGACACACAAATTCCAGAAAAATAAACTGACTGAGGCCGCTGCCAATACAAGCAGGAAGACATTACACTGACAAAACTTCATTGCAACATTATAACAGGTTATCACCTGACACTCACAGGTTTTAATTTACGAGTTTGGCTTCATGTCTTGGACTTAAAGTAGCAAACATAACTTTGAATACACCCCTTTTCAGATCTGTCTCGCAGAGGTGAGATGAGGACAATGCAACTAAGAAAAAACGATACTCTGAAGATCAGGTGATGTGCTCCACACTGGGCGTGTGCGTTGGCAGAGCATTTAATGAATGAAGGTGTAATTATGATTTGCACTGCTCATTCCTTTCCTGTGTAAACGTCTTTGATTGGTTTCCTCCACAGTTCAGCTGAGGACAGCGCAGCTATTAGACAGCCTTCCAGTGCAATAACGGTGGACTCACGCTGCGTCAAAGTGTTTGTGCAGGAGATTGTTTGTTCATGATGCAGACGTGGTGATTTTTGTGTATGTGTGTATTTGCAAGACAAGAAAATAAATAAAGGCTGTTTATCTCGAGCCTTCAGAGCTTCCAGAGCTGCAGGTCTCAATCCTGTAAGAAGGATTATATTTGCTCCATTTCACTGCCAATGACAAACAACTGCACACATTCTGCATGTATGATTAACTATATCAGCTTATTTGAGCGGCTATTTACTGTGTGTGTGTGTGTGTGTGTGTGTGTGTGTGTGTGTGTGTGTGTGTGTGTATCTTGGTCCTTGTTGTGATTTATGGACTGACATCCTTGATGTCATATACAAACTTTTCACCAGGTATATCTGAAGAGCTCAATACTACTAAATAATTAAAGACAAAATATATCCCGTCACATCCCCCGGACAGGAAGACATCGGCACACCTTACACAGCCCTCACACAGTCTGAACCTGTTATGTACAAATGTTTCACATTGGGGCGGAATTAATAAACTCTTGTCAAACCCAGTAAAGATGGATACATCTCGGGGCTACAAATTCGTAGGAAATTATAGGCTTAATTTTTTGTACTCAGGAAAACATCAATAAAACAATAGGAAACCTGAAAAACACAAAATCATCCAATTGCACGCCCTCAGGTGGGAGGTTATTTGAGGATTCGAATTTAATCAAAAGTAACAGCTAGCAGAAACTTTCTTTAACTACATTATTTGGTAATTTGGGGAATGAAGCCCACACCAGTCAATTTAGATGAGATATAAGATCAATGTAAGGTGCAAGTTCACCAGCTCTGTGAGTGCATTATCCAACCGAAGAGCTCCAGAAACACAGCTTGGCTCACATCACAACATTAAGCATCTGCTAATGGTTGGATGGTTTGGTTTTGTGGGTTTTTTGCAGGCCCCAAGCAAGTGCACCAGGCTTTGTAGCCAGTTGTTGTAGTGGCCAAACAGTGGAATTACACTGTCACATGATACCCTGTGGCCTAAAAAGACTTTTTTCCCAATTGAATTACATGGCAAAAGAGATGTCTGTAAATTAGTGATTCTTTTTTTTTGTTACCATCACAACCCCCTTGACATGACTGAAATTTCAAAAGTCTAGAAGAGCTGTACAATTGAATAATTTTATATCTGAAGTTAGCCATCCGGCCAACTGAATTTTGTTGTTAGTCTCTTGTGCGCCTGCTCTATGGGCCACACAGTGCCAAAGTAGTGCTGATCATCACGTCATTTTATACGTGGCAGTTGAACCATTTTGGCAACTCTCATAGGAATGAACGGAGCCCCGTGTTTAACGCTGTATCCAGTACTCTGCTGTACAGTGACACAACAGCACCCGAGGTTAGCTGTCAAGGTAACATTAGCCTAAGTTTGGCAGTGTAAGCTAACCTTGCCAGAGCCGTTTCTTACCCTATAACGTTAGTCACTGACAATACAATGCATACTACTCACATAATTTATACACACCCACTTGTGCACTCAGCACAACATGCAGCTGTGACCATGTGCTGCTGTCGGCACTGGGAGAGCCACATTTGGCACTGCATTGCTTTTCAGCATGAATGTCTACCTCCATGAGATTGGAGAAGCAGTCCTGGGAAAAATGATCATTGTAAACTCTGGCTCTAGGCAGGAGATAACAGTCCCAGTACATGCAACCACTGGCGCCTAAATGCTAGGTCTGCTGGAAAGCTGTGCAGTCCAGTGATGTTTCTACACACGGGAAAGCAGCAGTGACGACCCATTTTGCAAAACTAAATAATAAATACCGAAACTAACTGACTGACTGACTGGCTGACCGATTAACTAACTATGCAACTAACCACCAAACTAATCACCTAATCAAACTAAAGTTGATGCTAAATCCATAATCACAAGCACTCCTTTCAATCCATGTAATTCGCTCAATCCACTACTCCCCCAGTCTGCAGGGTCAGACGACATTGCTTTTATGTGATGGGGCAGCATCATAGGGGCTTGATTAATGACGAAAGCTGCCTCCATATACACCATTTGTCACCAGAACAGCCAATAGCAAAAATGGGTCAATGAACACTTGGTAAATGCATCGTGTCTTTTCAAAATACACCTCTGTTTTTACAGGAAATGTGCAGTTTTTGCTCGTTAGACACATGCAATCCTTTACAAATTAAACTTACAACATCAGTAAAACACCTCGTATTTACATCTGCTCCTTATGTTAGTTGTTACCAAGGGTGTTTCAAACTGACGCTGTGCAGTGGCGCTATAAACTTTTGCGCCTTTGGTGGCGGTGGTATAGTGGTATAGCTTCATATTTAACATGGATGAGAATGATACCAACCTTCCTGTTGAACTCTCTCATTTATGTATTTCCACAATGTTGAGCTACTCCTTTATCCTTTTACACAGCTGTGGGTGGTCTGAATGTAGCAAAAGAACATCCAGAAGACAGACCAGGTTGGTATCGGCAGACAAACATTGAGCAATATCATGAAAGAAAAACAAGTGTCTTGCTTTGTCACC